ATCTTCACCGGACTAGCAAATGGCCTGTATTTTTGCCTGGCTGAGCACATTGGTAATAGTGCTCAGCCAGGCAAAAATACAGGCCATTTGCTAGTCCGGTGAAGATGCCAGTGGGAATCTGGAGTCCGGAGGAAGGTGACTGAGAAGGGCGTGGGAGAGGGGGTTCTTGTGCTAGGGAGGAGGCATGTCTGAAGTCACTGTATTGCACAGCATCTTGTCTTGTGACCTAGCTGGTTCACCCCTTTTCTGGCCTGAACCTTCCCCCCTTGTGCTATAGTATTACACCAACTCTGCTGAATTTCCCAGAGCTGCAAAGCGCTTTCCCAAGACGACGGCAGCCGTTCATGGTGGGCTAGGTAAGCCGTTCATGGTGGGCTGGCTGCATAATCACCAGGCCGTTTTGTTGACCAGCAGCCTGAATAGGGAGCATTTCTGAGTACATGAACTGCACGCTGGTTTGAAAGATGCTTTTCTGGTTGCTTTTCAGATGTTTATTCATTCAACTGTGTGTTTTCCAGGCAAAAGAACCCAAAGCAATTATGAAGATTGAACATTTAAATGCGACTTTCCAACCTTCAAAAATAGGGAACCCACATGGACTACAAATCACTTACTTGAAGGACAACAGCACAAGGAATATCTTTGTCTATCATGAAGATGGCAAGGTGAGAGCTCAGAGCTAACGGAATAGGCTGGTTTAGGTCCCAGGTGACATGGGTGCTTCCACAGAGCCTGGTCTAAGGGATGCACTTAGGGTGACCAGATAGCAAGGGCAAAGAATTGGGATGGGGATGGGGATAATAGGCGCCGGTATAAGACACAGCCCCGAATATCGGGACTGTCCCTATAAAATGGGGACATTTGGTCACCCCAGCCTAGATGCACTAGAACAGCCACATGCGGTGCCCCCTTGCCTAGCGCCTTCCAATCAATGGAACCACAGGGTTAGTGGCAATAAAAATTCTCTTTTTATTTAATAGGAAGCAAATAGAAGGGGCAGAAGAGGCAGAGCCTCCTGGGGAGGGGGAGGGAAGAAACCAAGTGGTCCCTGAATGCCTCTAAATAAATGCATGTACTGTGTAAAAGCTCAAAAGCTTGTCTCTCTCACCAACAAGTTGGTTCAATAAAAGATATTCCCTCACCCACCTTGTCTCTCTAAATATATGTAAGAGCAGCGCTGCCCATGGGCACCCCAAAATGCAGTCCTAACCCACTTCCCCCTCAGCTGTGTGGCAGTCAGATTGGAGAGGCAGTTGCGACAGTTTGGGGGGGTATGTCTGCCTCCAGTTATGAATTCCGTTGGGTTGTGTGAACACGATCTGTAATTGGAACCGTCGCTCTGGATTAGATCATCCACTCTGTAGCGGGGAAGCTGTCTGGAAAGCTGCAACAGGCTGCCATCAAGAGCCATCCGGACTGAGTGGCTCTCCTCTGGTGAAACAATGGGGCTGCCCCCCATAGGGCCAGTGACTTTGAATAGACATTCGATGCCGAAACCAGTTGGAGGGTGGAGGGGTCTGGACCTCCTCCAGCCTACACACCTGGCTGAGAGAATTGTTTCCTGGCTTGACCACCTGAGCCAGAGGGGCAGAGATTGTTTCAAAAGTTGTGCTCCTCCTCCTCCAAGCCAAAGGAAGCTGTTCCATCTCCAGGAAGAGAAAGCCCAGCAGAGGAGTGGAGGCTGGAGGTACCGTGCCTTCCCTAAGGACCTAACTCAGGCTCACAAAAGGGAATGAGATCAGCCGGAGAGCGGTGTTCAGCAGTTTGTGATTTTCCATAGAGCTGTAACTCTCTTGTCCTTCTTAAGTGTGTGTGTGTGTGTGTGTGTGTGTGTGTGAGAAATCCCTTTCCTAAGCCCGTGTGCCTTGCTGTACTGCCATGTGGTCCCTGAAGGGTATAACTAAGACCAGAGCTCCCGCAGCCACGTGGTCTCTGGCAGGGAATGTGTCCAAACAACTGGGGGGATCAGGAGGACAGAGGCTTCAGGGTCTGTACCTCAGAATGTACCTGAGAGACCCAGACTTAGAAGCAGGGATCCAGAGATGACAGGTAACTCTTGATGGTGGAGGGAGGAGGCAGATGTTACCGCCCATGTGTCGCCTCTGGGCTGAGGAGCAGCAGCAGAGCCAGGAGTGTCAGGGCAGCAGCGAACAAGCGCCTCAGGGAGCTTCTAGTGGCAGCCAGCCTCTGCGGGCAGGGGCCAGCTCCAGGGGGCATCGCTGGCTGGCGACAGGCTCTCATGGGAGAGGCAAGAATGCATCAGGGGGGCAGAGCACATTTAGAGTGGAAAGCCAGGGGCCCGAGTGGGCCAGGAGGCTCCCAGCAGGTTCTGATCCGCCGGTTCCTGGCAGGAGGTGACGGTTTTCAGGGGTGTGTGCTCCACAGATTGAAAAACTCTGTGCTAAATAGGAGGCAGAAATCGGGAGGGGGGTGTGTGACCCTGCATTGCCTCTGCAGTGGTCAGTCACTGTCCAGACCCAAGGAGCTTAGCAGTTCATAGGATCCAGGGGTTGGCTCCCATCACTGGTGTCGTTTCAGAGAGTGGGACCGGAGTGACAGGAGCCATCTCGCAACTGTATTTCCTTCCCCCAGCTACTTGGAACCCACTGGATCATAAGGCCAACCCTGAAATGGTCATCAAATTAAAGCCCACAGCTGTCATGTTTATGGATTTATTTTCCTTTGGTTGTCAAGCTGCCTTCATCCTTGGACACTGCATGAAACTAAGCAGGGACTGTCAGACTAGCACAGCAGGGTTTCACAGTACTAGCCATTCCTGCAGGAGAAGGATCACCTTGCTGCTTAACCAGTTGCTCACTATTTGTCCACACAGACCTCGTAAATCCAACAGCTTTCCTAGTGGCAAGCGGTCCAGATGCAGGGTAGATTCACTCCCCAACTCATCTCCAGACAAAACAGGCCCGTGGTGCTAATAGGAAACAATACCCCATTGATAGATCTGTAACAAAAGTGATCTCTCTTCCTCTGTGACAGATTCAGGGTGAGGTAATTTTTGAGAACACCTTTTTGCTTTTGTGCTGCGCTGCAGTGGATCTGAACTGGCTTCCTGCTTAGTTCTGACCCTCCTTGTAGGCAGCAATTAGTGTGTCCAGTCAAATTAGTCAGTAGAATGGTGCGCTTCCATGGTGTTAGCTCTTCTGTCTAGCAAAGGATGGATGGACGGATGGATGAAAGCAAACACCGATTCCCCATTTTCAAACGGATAGGTCTTGCCATAGGCAGGAAGGGGTGCTTGATTAGGTCTGCATACCTTGTGATTGCTTTGGTGATATACTTGCAGAGCTGTGTTTCTTTAGCCTAGTCTGAATCAAGTGGCGGTGGCTTCTCCGTCTTAGCACACTGCAGTTCATTGCTCAGCGCACAAGGAGACAGTCAAAGTTAATAGTGCAGTGTGTTTCTGAATCTCAATGAGCTGCCCCCCACAGGGGCTCTCCCCAAAAACTCCCACTGCCCCACATGTGAAAGCTGTGACAAGGTATCAGAGTCTTATACAATGGAGGTGATGAACCTGATCACGAGGTAGCTGTTCAACATTGGCAAGGTGTCACTCATGTCATGGACAGTCAATTCCCTGGCAACAATTTTACTCCAGCGACTCCTGCTTATGAAAGATGTAGATGTTATCATGACTATTTATGATTGGTTTAGTGCTGATGATCTACTTGGCCCTGTACAGCACACAAAATAGAAACATTCCCTGTCCCGAACAGCTGAAAGACAGATACAGACAAGATGAAACATACGGGGAAACCCAGACAGGGCTAGTTTTTTTCTTTTAAAATGATAAACTCCCTGCTGAACAGCCTCATAGAAGAAGTGGTTTGTGTGGCTTTGTCTGTTCTTTTAAGAAGGACCTTGTGGTCTGATTCTCCTCTCGCCCTGGAGTTATTCCTGCGTTACAATGGTGAGACAAGGTGGGTGAGATCATATCTTTATTGGGCCAACATCTGTTGGTGAGAGAGACAAGGTTTTGAGCTTACACAGAGCTCTTCTTCAGGTGAGTGAGAGGAGAATCAGACCTCTGATGTAGCTTTTATATGCTGAGCTGTTGTTTTTGTGTAGACTATAAAGCAGCAGTTCTCAAACTGTGGGTCTGGACCACAGAGTGGGTCACAACCCCCTTTGAATGGGGTCACCAGGGCTGGCTTAGACTTGCTGGGGCCCCGGGCCGAAGCCAAAGCCCAAGGGCTTCAGCCCTGGGTGGCGGGGCTCAGGTTGCAGGCCCCCTGCACGGGGGCAGTGGGGCTTGGGTGGGTTCAGGCTTCGGTCCCCCCTCCTGGGGTCGTGTTTGTTGTCAGAAGGGGGCAGGGGCTGCGGTGCAATGAAGTTTGAGAACTGCTGCTATAAAGGAATGACCTGATTTGGGACTTTTCCCTCTACTGTCACAGGGCCTCATTCATCCCCAGTGTAACAATTGATGTTAGCAATGTCCCATCAGAACTGAATGTAGCCCAGCTCTAGGGGGAGGTTTCATTAATACAGTGTCGGAGCTCAGTCGTACATCAGCATGCAATGGGTGGGAGGTAAACTTACTGAGAGCGCTCTGGGATTGCTCTCCAAGTAGTTCTAATGCCAGAACGCTCCTCTCATGAGCTTGGGTAGTCCAGAACGTGAAGTAATCACAGGCCCATCTCAATGTTTATTCAGTCAGTTAAATAGTTATGTAAAGAGCCCCACTGTTTCCCACAGAGTTTTCACTGAAACAAAGTGTTGCTATCTCAAATGGCACTAAATGTTAAACGCTAGTATTAAATTTTAAATGGAAAATGTATTAAAGCTGGAGATGATATTGTTTAGCTTTAAAAGGGAAGGGTGGTCTTCTGGCCAAAGGGCAGGATGGGACTCAGAAGGTCGGGGTTCTGTTTCTGGCTTCCTGGGTGACCTCATTCCAGTCACATCATCTACCTGGGCCTCAGTTTCCCCATCTGCAAAATGAGGCTAATAGTCACTTCACTTCTCTGTAGCTCAGTTTCCTCTCCCAGCCTTTGTCTGTCTCATCTGTTTAAGCTCTTTATTGCAGGGACTGTCTCTAACTGTGTCTATGTAGTCCACGTAGCACAGTGGGGTCCTGAACTTGGTTGAGGTCTCTAGGTGCTAATGTAATACAAATAACAGCGGGACTCAGATGCTATAACCAGGAGAGAGTGTGGCATAAATACCTAGGGCTTCATCTACATGGGCAAGTTGCCCTGGTATAGCTTAAGGTGAGAGTTTAAACCAGTGCAAACCACTGTGTGGGTGGGTGAGATTCTGTGGCCTGTGTTGTGCAGGAGGTCAGACTAGACGATCATAATGGTCCCTTCTGACCTTAAAGTCTATGAGTCTATGATTCTTATTCCGGTATAAGGGTGGCATTTTTTGTATTGGTTTGGTTTTTTGTGTTGTTTAGTTAGTCTACTAGGAACAGGTTTAAGTTAAACTGAAATAGGCTTGAATAAAGACTGGGAGTGGATGGGTCATTACACAAAGTAAAAACTGTTTCCCCATGCTAATTTCCCCCCTACTGTTACTCACACCTTCTTGTCAAGTGTTGGAAATGGGCTATCCTGATTATCACTACAAACGTTTTTTTTCTCCTGCTGATAATAGCTCACCTTAATTGATTACTTTCGTTACAGTTGGTATGGCAACACCCATTTTTTTC